TTTAAATTTAGACATAAATATATATAATATATTATTATATAAATAATATATGTAATATATTGTTATATAAAAAAATATATATATATATATAGCCATTTCGAGCCGAACACGAGTGAACAAACTGTTATTCGTGTTCGACTCGTTTACATTTCGATCCTAAAAATTTGTTCTTATTCGGCTCGTTAAGCTTAACGAACGAGTCAAACACGAGCTTTTTACAAACAACGAGCCAAATTGACAGCCCTACATTAAAGATCGCCGGAGACTCTTATAATATAGTCTTGGCTATTCTTTTATATATATATATATATATGATTTATGCATTAATTAGTTTTATTATAGTGTTTTGATTGCACTGTTACAGATGTTATGCAATTTTTTAAGAGGGATATCCGAAGAAGTATTGGAAGACAACTTCATTAAAGGGTTGAAGCCAAAGATTCGAGCATCACTACGCTTGGTGAGATTAGGAGGATTGAGGATAAAAGTGAGATATGCTATTAAGAGTAGGTGGAGCATCATACCGAACTATTACAACCATAACGTTACAAAAAGCTCAAAGAATGGAAGTCCAGATGGAGGCTTTACAGGACAAGAAGGATGACAGAGAAAGAAAATTTGATGGCAGCAACTCTGTGTTTGAAAGGAAAGACTTTAGTATGTTATCGATGAGCGAACAATGTTAGCCAGCTCAAACATGAGAAGAATTCAAGGTTCAATTGTTTGAGTACTTCAGAACCACATGGGAAGGAGATTTATTTGAGCATTTTTTTTTTTTTTTGCATTGGTCAAGTAAGAATTCATCATGGAGAATAAGGAGAAATTTGGGATGTTATGCAATTTTTTAAGAGGGATATCCGAAGAAGTATTGGAAGACAAATTCATTAAAGGGTTGAAGCCAAAGTTTCGAGCATCACTACGGTTGGTGAAATCAGGAGGATTGAGGATAAAAGTGTAGTGAAATATGTTATTAAGAGTAGGTGGAGCATCATACCGAACTATTACAACCATAACGTTACAAAAAGCTCAAAGAATGGAAGTCCAGATGGAGGCTCTACAGGACAAGAAGGATGACAGAGAAAGAAAATTTGATGGCAGCAACTCTGTGTTTGAAAGGAAAGACTTTAGTATGTTATCGATGAGCGAACAATGTTAGCCAGCTCAAACATGAGAAGAATTCAAGGTTCAATTGTTTGAGTACTTCA